GAGAGAGAGAGAGAGAGAGAGAGGGTGGTCGTTTGGAGTGGCTTGCTTTTTGTCGTTAAACCCAGAAAAAGAAAAAACAAATTGTAAAGAGAAACCCCCAAATGCGAAGAATAGCGTATTTTCTGACGTCTGGAAGAGAATACTGCTTACTTATTATGCACCACCAAGGGAGAGAGGTCCTGACAAGGTAGGTAACCCCCAAATGTGAAAGTCTCTTTCTTACAGAACAGGGCAGCGGCTAACCAACTGCACTCAGGCCACCACAACCCTGATGCTCCTTTTTGCTTTTGTTTGCAAAATTTCCATTTCCATGTTTGTTCTTTTGCGGGCGGACCCGCAACAGGTAAGCTACGATTAGTATACCTTTCTCGGCCTTTTGGCTAAGATCAAGTGTAGTATCTGTTCTGATCAGTTTAATATCTGATCCGTGGTCCATCGGGCCACATGATATTAAAAAAAAAAGAAAAAAAAAAAAGCTACGACTAGTAGCGTCTGAAGACCCGCTGGTAAGACCTGTGGGCCCTGCAATCCAGGGTTTTGGGCCTCGCTCTACCACTATAGAAATTCGCAAAGCGGGAGTGAATCTTCCGCTAGAACATGGAAAGATACACACAGCCATGATTTTTTTTGTCTTTTGTGCATGTCGAGAGTAGTGGAGCGAGGCCCTTTGTCTTGCCCCCCCTACGCCTCACCTGTTTGTTTGCTCGCCGTTGGCGGTAACACCACGGGCTTCGAGCCCGCGCCCTCGCGGTAGTATGGGCCAGATTCCACTAGCCCGTATTGTTCATTTCTGACCGTTGATCTTCGTAATCGAGTGTCAAAAATGAATAATCCAGGGTAGTGGGATTTGACCCATAGTATGTCAGTGGTTTGGCCCTTTGGTCAGGGAGTCGGCGACGCAGGTCTTGGCGGAAGAATGAAGCGAAATCAGACCGTACTGTTTTGGCGCTTTGGAGGAAAGTGAAGAGAAATGATCAGCGCATTAGGTTTTCTGCCTCATGAAGGTGTTTGTTGCGTTCAGACGTAGTGCCGGTGTGGCTAAGCTCTATCTCCTCCTCCTCCTCCTCCTCCTCCGTGTTTGCTTGCGCACCAGCTTGGGTCCAGAGGTGAGGTTGAGCCATCTCCTCGTCTCGTGGCGCGCGGCGAGGAGCGGCGTCAGCAGTCCCCTCGAAACACCTGTGAGCGGCGGTGTGTGGAGATCGTGAACTAACTTCCGTCTCAGATGACAGGTGAGTCTCTTAGTCCTTGTCGCGTCTTCGTTCTTCCCTCCGACGCGCTTTACCTCCTGTCGAGGGTTTCTCTCTCTCTCTCTCTCTCCTTCTATCTCTGTCCCTTCCCCCCCCTCCGACGCCTTGGTGTGTTTCTTGATCACCTTCTTGTTTTAGTTTACCTCCTGTCGAGGGTCTCTCTCTCTCTCTCTCTCTCCCCTTCTATCTCTGTCCCTCCCACCCCTCCGACGCCTTGGTGTGTTTCTTGATCAGCTTCTTGTCTTAGTACACCTCCTGTCGAGGGTTTCTCTCTCTCTCCTTCTCTCTCTGTCCCTCCCTGCCTGTCTCTCTCTCCTCACTGTGTCTAGTTTCGTCGTTCAATCTCATTACCCTCTTCGTTTCTCCGCGTACCTGTGTTGTTTTCTCTGTCCATCCCTGACGTGGGTGGGTGACGTTGGTCGCCCGACGGAGTCCGTGTTTTTTTATTGTTAGTGTTGTTGTGTTGGTGTTATTGAAAGTGCCCATGTCACTAACCGCAAGGAGGATTGTCTTGGCCCTCGCATAGTTCTGCCGCTGAGATGGAGTTTGGGAGTTTGGGAGTTCTGCAAGGCGAGTGCATATTCAGCTTGAAGGTGGAAAGACACAGTTTCCATAGTTTTGTCTTTTTCACATTTGAGAGGCCATATGAGAGGACGAGAAATGGCGTATGTAGAGAGAGACATGCCAGAGGGAGGGACCAGGGAACCAACGCTCAGGGCATACGCGCACTAGCACTTTTCGACACTCATCTGACTGCAGTTGTGGCCAGACCTGGATGAATTTGACTGCAATCACGTCCAGAGCTCTGTTGAAAAAGTCCTATTTTGAGTATGCTTTCAGACAGACGTGGCTTTCGGCGAAAGTATCGGAAAACTGCCCACAAGGTGTGTGTGTGTGTGTGTGTGTGTGTGAGAGAGAGAGAGAGAGAGAGAGAGAGAGAGAGAGAGAGAGAGAGAGAGAGAGAGAGAGAGAGAGAGAGAGAGAGAGAGAGAGAGAGCGGTGGGGGGGGGTGTGTGTGTGTGTGTGTGTGAGAGAGAGAGAGAGAGAGAGAGAGAGAGAGAGAGAGAGAGAGAGAGAGAGAGAGAGAGAGAGAGAGAGAGAGAGAGGTCAGCACCAGTGCAAAGCGACTGCTATTGAACTACTGAATTTTTTGGCAAGAATTTGTTCCTTGCAGGGACAGGAAGTCGACAGCGGTAGACGATGGGCTCGGTGGATGTTGTGCGACGTGGAATGTATCTCTCGATTGCAGGGGAGGAGGGGATGGAAGGAGGAAAAGGCGAGAAAAGAAGCGATGGAAGGCTTCCGCAGTGCGACGTGGCAGGCGCTGTGGGCTCGTCGAAGACGCGAAAGAAGAAGAAAAAAGGCATTGGCAGCAGCGAAGAAGAAGAAGAAGAAGAAGAAGAAGAAGAAGAAGAAGAAAGACGGGAAGGAATAGGAAGAGGATGGAAGGAGGAAGAAGAAGAAGACGAAAGAAAAAGAAAAAAAGAGGAGCAAGAGGAAGAAGAAAGAAGAAAGAAGAAGAAGAAGAAAAAGAAGAGCAGAAGGAAGAAGGAAAAGAAAGAGAAGAGGAAGGAGGGGGAAAGGAGGAAGAGGAGGAGGAGAGGAGGGGAGGAGAGGCGGAGGAGAAGAAGAAGTTGCAGATGAAGATGGAAGAGGAGAAGAAGAAGAGGATGAGGGAGGAGGAGGGTGTAGTAGGAGGAGGATGACGGGCAAGAACAAGAAGGAAGAAGAAGAGGAAGCGGACGAGGAAGACGATAAGAATGGAAATGCGGAGGAGGAGGAGAAGAAAGAAGAAAAGAAGCAGTTAACACAAGAAGTGCAGGGCTTCGCTGTGTCGGAGTTGGTACGAAGGGAAAGGAAGAAAGAGAAGTAAAAGTTGTGAGGAGGAACGCAAGGGGTCGTCGTTAACACAGGCCGAGCGGATGTCGGCAGCCCCGAGAGGAATGTGTCGTTACAGCGGGAGCTTTTCTTGTGGGTGCTCCATTACCCAGCAATGGCTATGAGAGGCAATGTTCCCTCTCCTACGAGAGAGGTCGGGTCCGCCTTTGTTTGCGCGCAGAGTGTTGGTAGGACCGCCGTGTTTGGGTTGTTGGCGCGGAAAGCGGGGGAGGGTGGGATGCGGACGGCGGGGGGAAGGGTTGGGTGCGGACGGCGGGGGAAGGGGGGGGTGTGGTGCGGGTGGGGGTGTGTGTGTGTGTGTGGTGTG